AGAGCATAAAATAGCTATTAAGGTTTTTAAAAAGTCATAGTATTCATTTAAATAGCAGTTTTCATTAGGCAACTTATTCAGAGACAATTTTGTAATTCATTTCCTAGTATTCCACAAAAATCTTCCATGAAAGAATGTGAACTTCCAAATTCTGAGTAAATGGGAAGTATTAAGAACTATCTCAGTTCCCCCCCAGTTATTCAATTCCATTTAGACTTGAAAAAATGAGGTACAAAGGAGAAGAAAGTATCTCAAACTGGCCATTTTTCTTTGCGTTTTAGCAACTGTATAAAGAGTTTTGACAATGACTAATTAAAACTCATCAAATTGAAGAAAATTAGGTATTTCATTGAGTTTAAAGTAGAACCGGATCAGAAAGAAAGTTCTTTAATTTTATTCTCAACCATTTTCAAGTTTAACCTTGATATTTTTTATTTCTTTGTAGATTCTTTTTGTAATAAAAACTACACCAGGTGCCTCTCAAATTCTTGCCAGAACAATTCTACCTGCAAGGGTTCGTCACGAGACAATTGCCATTGTTCAGACACAGCGAATAACGTGGACAAAGACTGTGACAACATGAAAGATCCTTGCTCCTCCAGTCCTTGCCAAGGAATTGTCACTTGTGTGAATGTCCCTGGAGAAAGGAGCTTTCAGTGCCAGTGCCCTCCCGGGTACAGTGGGCTGACGTGTGAAATTGCCATTGGCTCCTGTGGTGCGGACTCCTGCCAACATGGAGGTGTTTGCCACCCCGACCCTGTGCACCGGGCCTGCATCTGCCCTGTTGGGTATGGAGGAAGATTCTGTGAGATAGATCACAATGAGTGTGCCTCTGGCCTTTGCCACAACGGGGCTGTGTGTCAGGATGGAATCGATGGCTATTTCTGCTTCTGTGTCCCAGGATATCAAGGGAGGCACTGTGACTTGGAAGTAGATGAATGTGTTTCAGATCCCTGCAAGAATGAGGCTACATGCCTCAATGAGATAGGAAGATACACTTGTACCTGCCCACAAGGTTATTCTGGTGAGTATTATATCTGAGCCCCACAAGATTGAATTATCTTTCTCTTCCTTTAATATTGCAAAAGCAGAAGTGACATTTTATGTCCTGTTCATTTGTTTATGAAAAATGGCCAAGTTCTCAACAGGCTTTAATCACTATACATAAAGCTTGGTAAACTATTAAAAATCCACTGAATTCTAAGTGGTTGTGTAGTGTGACTGTTACTGTTTCAGCGCTCTATAGTGCTTGGAACATAGATTCAGCTTTTTAAAGGCTAAAAAAATCTACTCACCAATTGATGGACACTGAGGTTGTTTCCATATCTTGGCTACTGTGAATTGTGCTGCAATAAACATAGAAATGCATGCTAACTTCTTTTCTTTTAGATATGTACTCATAGATGAGATCACTGAGTCTCATATGTATGAGAAGATTTTAAGTGTTCTTGCCACAAACAAAAGATAAATATTTGAGTTGATGGATAAGCTAACCAGCTTGATGCGATCATCCCATACTACCTATGCATTTCAAAACACCACATTGTACCTCTTAAATATATACAATTCTTTTTTAATTGAAAATAAAATAAAACTTAAAATAACAACATGTACAACTTGTATTCAGTGCAGAATTAGTAGCCTTCCTTGTCCATGTTCAGTCAGTTCAGGTTTCCTTATCAGGTCATATTTTTTCCTCCAGGCTTAGGTTTGCCTCCTAAGGCTCAGAGCTGATGTTGCAGCCTGCTTTGAGGGCCTGCTGCAAGTTGGTGGATTTCCAGGGCTCGTGTGAGAAACAGGTCAACGATAGCAAGCCAGTTCTTATTTCATTACTTGCAAAAAGAAAAAAACAACTAAATCATATTTATCTATTTCTTAAAATTTTTTCTATTGATATAATTTTATCTGAATAATAATGAGTTGAAAATTAATTACCAGATTACACATTGTCTCATTAGTAGGTGCACTGAATCTCTATCCTCTCCGTCTTCCTGAATCAGTTACTCATCTAGGTGAATTCCTCAGGAATTCCTTTGTTGCCCTGCCTTCGATTTCATCTTAGTTACTTCTCTTGTCGCTGAGACACAATACCTGACACCCACAATTTAAAGGACGAAAGGTTTATTTTGGCTCACAGTTCGTAGATATTTAGATGTTTCAGTCTGTGGTTGGCTGGTTCCAAGGCAGTGCAGCATGGCAGACAGGAAGCCAAAAGAGATCAGGGAGGAGGAAGGGATACACATCTTTCTAGGCCACGCACCCAGTGACCTCCTCTGAGCAGACTTCACCTCCCAACATCACAGTTAGCTTTTGATCCACTTAGGAGTGTCACACTCCCATGATCCAGGCACCTCCCCAAACCCCACCTATGCGCCCATGAGGTCTCAGGGGACATTTTGATATAAACCATAATGGATTTCCGTCGGTTATAAGGGTACAACTCTCATCATCTGCACTTCCTCACATTCTTCACTCTAGCTCCTGCTCATCCCTTTCCTGTGCTTTCTTTACTCCCATCTCTCAGCCATCACTCACACTTTAATACCACTTTTCTCTTAGCTCTTGCTGCTTTTGTAGCAGTGTGGCGTCTGGCTTCCAACTTCTTCTCTCAGCTCTTTCATACTTCTTCGTTTTGTCGTTTTTTTCCAGGATATGTTAAGCAATAGAATGACCTGGAAAATACTTCTCTTCAAAATTTGCACCAGAACCTTCAATCATTTTGGAAATATTTCTTTTACAAAATATGCATATCCTGAGTGCTCTGGCACAAAATCTGCCCATTGCTCAACTATAACTAATCTTCACAATCTGTGGCTTTGACATCAAAAGTGTCTTCCAAATTGAGTTCATCCATTCTGTTCCCAGGGCTTTGACTCATACCCTCTTCACCTCTGTGTGTACTAAGCAGCCCCTGCAATTCCCTACATCTACCTCTCCCTTCTCCAAGCTGTCTTTGAAACAGTCCTCCTAAACAGATCTTTGTAAATCTTTCTGGAGAGCCATGAGAGGTTCCACTACATAGAGAATAATTTTAGCTTCTCATGGAAAGCCTTCTACAGTCTGTCCTTGACATTCGTCACATTTCCACACCCATTCCACCAAAGCATTCTGTCCTCAAATCACTTTTTATTCACGTGGCTTCCCCCTGAATATACTTTCCCGCAGTGTCAACTCTGAAGTTCTCCTCTGCTTTCAAGACCTAGTTCAAATGTCTCCTCATTCAAGAAGCTTTTCTAGATTTCCTTTCAGATAGAATAATACTTTCACACTGCCTTAGTAATCATAGTTATTATTTCTACACTATTTTGCACATCTAAAAACATTCCATATCTTTTCCCATTTTATAGATATCTGTGTTTTTGTCTCCCCTGACTAAAATGCTAGTTTCTAAAAGACAGAAGTCATGTCTTATATTTATTCTTTAATTTATTGATATTTTTGAGTGTCTATTACATGTCTGTAAAATGTTTTTTAACATGCTATAATGTTCATTTTTTTCATTAGAGTTATAGCAATTGAATATCAATGTTTAAAACATTTGAATAAAAATAAAGAATTTTGTGGTGCTAGTTTTATATTGCTTTTGTTTATAAAGCAATATTTATTTTTGTTAAAAATAAATAAAAACAAACAAAAAAGAAAATAAAAATATAATGGTTACATTGTTTATAATCGTTACATTCATTAAGATAATATTTTCTATTGCCTGCTGTTTCTTCAGTACCTTGAACAGCAATTAAAAAGACTATTTGAGATTGAATTAATGTTTCAGTCATTTTAAGGCTTTAAATGGTCTTGTAATTGTGAAACCATAGCTTGCACAATTGTTTTGTAATTTTTATGTTCTAATCTAATTGGATTTTAATGAATCATTTCAGTTGTCTAAATTTAGGCATGCCAGGGCTGTATTCTACACATGAAATGTAGTAAAATTCCATCAAAAGACACTTCACTTGACAATAGATTCATTTATACTGTGAGTTATATCATATTCCTGCTGGTTCCCGAGACAGTTCTCTTTTCTCACTCTAACACTTAACAGCCACAATAAGGACAGTTTCCTTGCCAAACCCTGACATAATGGTGTTGCTCTCTATATGAGTATATCTCCCTTGGTTTTATGAGAACCTAGGTGAACTTTATTATTTTAGTTTTTCAGTTGACATATAGAAAACTCGATTGAAAAATAGAATCTAAATGAGAGACACATAATGCTGTTAGAATCAGGTCTACTATCAGCTGGATAGGGTTGTTCAGATACAAATACGGGCCTGTAGGTAGGCTTGCCTATCTGTCGCCTAACAAGTAGAATAGATTGTGTTTTGGTAGCTCATCAGTGGTCCTCAGCCCTGAAGGCTCATTAGCAATTACCCAGGGAGATCTGAAATAGAAATGTTCAGATTACCTTCAGGGTCAAATTTAATTGATGATTCTGATATATAGCTGGGGCAGGGAGTCAGAAATGAAGTTCCTGATGACTTAACTTGGAAACTTTTCTTGCAGTATACTATCATTTAGACACTCCGGGAGGCTTGTTTATTTCATTGTTATCCTATAATTACCCGTGTTTGTGGCAGCTTAGGCCAATTAATTGGAATCCCAAAGACAGTCGATAGAGCCAAGGGAAAAGCCAAGGTTGAGAAGGAAAGGAAAAGACCAGGAGCAATCAGCATGGGGGCACTTGGGTCCTCTGACTCAACTCAGACCTCCGGAAGTGTTCTGGAAACTATAGTACAGTGACCTACCTTCTGCGCGTTACATCCAAATTTAGAATTACTGTAAAGAATTTAGCTTGCAAGAAAAAGCCTATGTCCTTCTAAGCATCAAATCAAGAAAACATAGTAAATTTTAGTATATGGAGAGGTAGGAGGGCCAAAGAGCTGTAACACGTGGAGAGGGTTCACTCTGCATGAATTCTTCTTGGTGTGCTCTGCTGCATTTCAGGAGCTGTGATTCATGAGTCCAGAAATGGGCTCAGACAGAGCCACTGATGATGCTGGTGAAAATCTGCTGTACCTAAGCAAAAATTTCAGTTGAAGGTGAAAGTAAGCACCTGCATACTTCCTTTAATGAAAAGAGTATTAGCACTGAGCTCGTGACTGCTTTTAGTTTAAGCTTATGCAATAAATCATTCTGTAATTGAGGTCTTCCTTAGAATTAACCAGATTGATTAATGTGTGTTTTTGCTATTAAGATGCTTGCAGCATAAGGAAAATCGGGCCATAAGAGGGCAAAGGGAGGCCAACTGAATGTATGATGAAGCAACTCTGTGGGACAATATCTTATTTCCTCCATTATAAAATAAATCTTGGGTTCAAAAATAAAATTTTTGTAAATATAAAAGATTACATTACATTTGCTTTTTAAGTATGAGATTCATATTACTTTTGAAGCATCTCTGTTTCAGGAACAAAAATATATTCAGACGTCTCTGTATTCAAAAACCATATTAGTACTTGGAGACTGGTTAGAAAACTAGACAGTACACAAAGAGTCATTAGAAGGGTAGTGTAATAATCGGTGTAAGATACTAGGACCTGGGCTGGGAGGCCTGGGAGGCCTGGGAGAGTGAGCACAGGTGTGGAAGGAAAGGGCAGGTCAAAGAGCCACTAGGAAGAAGGCTCTCGTCACAGTTATCAAGGCAAGAGTATTTTCCAACTTCTTTTATCCAAGGAAAACTTGCAGTCTCTAATAGCAACAAAGGTTGCATTAAAATAAAGAACTTGGAATGTAGCTCACTGGATCTCAAACTTCACTGGTTCAAACTCATCTGCAGAGCTTATGATGAGATGTAGTGTTTAGTTCTGAGTTCTTCATCTGAGACGAGTTCAAGACTGTGTCTTTACAAAAAGTTCCATGTGTCACTTATATGGCTGCTCAGGATCTCATTTTGAGAAATCACCAAGGTAGACAATTAGGTGGGTTTTCATATGCTATCCTTGACTCTTATTTCACAAAGTCCATGTGACAAGGGGACAAAAATCAATAAAAGTATGTTTTTATGTGAAGCAGCTGTTGGTGGTA